CCCCCCCCCCCGCCTTCCTAACCAAACCTAACCCCCTCCCCCTCTTCGCATAGCCCCTGCTCGGAATTTGGCCCGTCATCAGTGATTGCCTTCAGCTAATGGGCAGAAGCGGGAGGAGGAAGCGACGGGAGGAAGCGAAGGGGAGATACACAAACCTCCAGGTTGGCAACGGATTGCTTCGTGCAGAAAACGGAAAACCATACGGGGAAAAAAAAAATCAAACGGAGATGATCAAACGGAGAAAATCAAACGGAAAATCAAACGGAAAATCAAACGGAGATAATCAAACGGAAAATCAAACGGGAAGACAAAGCAGAAACGAAAAAGACAGTCTCACCCGGCCCAAAAAGGAGTAAACCGATTACGGATTGTAAACAGCCATGAAAGATAGATGCTGGACCCCTCTCTCTCTCTCTCTCTCTCTCTCTCTCTCTCTCTCTCTCTCTCTCTCTCTCTTTGTGTGTGTGTGTGTGTGTGTGCGCGCGCGAGTGCGCAAACGTGTGTCCGCGCGAGCGTGAGTCTGTGCCTGTGTTTGTGTGAGCGTGCACGTGCGCGGACGTGTGAGCCGTCCTCGCCTTTTCGGTGGTTTTTTTTTTTTTTTTTTCGTGCGATGAAAATGACGCATAAAGCAATGAACAGGTTAAAAGTCTGCAACGTGGCACGTCTACCGACGTCTCTCTCCCTCTCTATCTCTACCTCTTCTATTCTCTCTGTCTTCTCTCTCTTCTCTATCTCTATACTACTGACGCATGCAAAGGGCCCTGCGTGGGGCCCCAACAGAAACCGCGCGGCACCGTGCGGGACTGCTCGAAAGACCCAGGGCGTGGGGGAAGGGCCGACCCGGTAGGACGGGCCGACGCGGGGCCGACAGTCGCCTGGAGTCGGGGAAATTGAGACGGGCGGGGCACGAAGCGGGGGCTGAAGGGGAAAGCGAGGTGATGGGCGGGGCCGAAGCGGAAAGCGAGGTGATGGGCGGGGCCGAAGCACAGGGAGCGCACAAGCGGGAGAGAGAGATTCCGAAAGTTGCAACGGGAGCGCACAAGCGGGAGAGAGAGAAGTGGCATGAAGCGACTACCGGTAGCGGCAAGGCGACGGGCGGGCGGCGTCGATTCGCGCGAGCGAGCGAGCGAGCGAGAGAGAGAGAGAGAGAGAGAGAGAGAGAGAGAGAGAGAGAGAGAGAGAGAGAGAGAGAGCAACGGGAGCGCAGAAGCGGGGGAGAGAGAGAGAGAGAGAGAGAGAGAGAGAGAGAGAGAGAGAGAGAACCGGGCCGGACAAGGGGAATGCGACACAGCATTGCCATGGACCCGACGGATGCGGACGAAATGTGATTTCTGCCCAGTGCTCTGAATTTCGAAGTGAAGAGAATCAACCAAGCGCGGGTAAACGGCGGGAGTAACTATGCCTCTCTTAAGCTAGCCAAATGCCTCGTCATCGAATTATAGTGACGCGCATGAATGGATTAAAGAGATGTCCACTGTCCCACAGATGCTGACGAAATGTGATTTCTGCTCAGCGCTCTAAATCTCAAAGTGAAGCGATTCAATCAAGCGCCGGTACGAAACAGTTTGTCACAGCCCCCTACGTGTTTGTTGTCCTCTTCTCGCTCCCTCTCCTCTCTGCCTACGGTTTACCGGGGAGCTTTGGCTGCGTGCAAGTGGGTCCTTGTGACACACGGGGATGGGGGCAGCCAGCGCTCAACCTGTCATCCACGTGGCTGGCCTTGCATGTAAGAGGTGATGAACAGGTGGGGCTTTCCTTCCTTCCTTCTTTGCCTTTCCTTGTTTTGCTTTTTTCCGCCTCCGCGCTCTGATTTACAGTGTGACAATATATCTATATATATATCGTCACATGAATATCAGAGCGCAAAGGCGAAAAAAAAAAACAGAAGAAACAAGAAAAAATTAAGTCGTTTTTTTATCTTCTTTCTTACAACTCCCCCTGTTCAGCAGAACCTCTTGCGTACAAGGCCGCCCACGTGGATGTAGGTTGAGCGGCGGCTGCCCCCACCCCCCTGTGTCATATCGACCCACTTGCACACAGCCACATATATATATACATATAATACTCTCTCTGCCTACGGTTTACCGGGCAGTTCTATTTGTGACGATATATAGTATTATATATATAGTATTGATAACTACGCTGTAACGACTGTGATTTGGCGCTGGAACTACAGAAAAAAGAGGGAGAGGGGGGGGGGGAGGGGAGGAATAAGAAGAAAGGAAAAAAGAAAGGAGAAGATGAAGGATCGAGGCCTTGGGAAAAAAAGGAGATAAGGGACGAGGAAAGAGGGTGCAAATGCGGTGTAAGTGGCGGAGGAGGGGCCAGGAGAGAAGACAACAGCAGCAAGACTTCAGTTCATCTTCGCCTCTCTCGTCGTCTTCACTCCTCCTCCACATACGCCTTCCACCTCCTTCCTCTCCCTTCTTCCTTCTTCCTTCCTCCCATTAATTGGTATCTTTTCTCTTCTTCCTTCTTCCCCTTGGACTTCTTCTCCTTTCTTTTTTCCTTTCTTCCTATTCCTTCCCTCCCACCTCCTCCCCCTCTCCCTCTCCCCACCTCTTCTTTTATCTGTAGTTCCATCGCCAAATCACAATCGTTACAGCGTAATTAAATCACAATCGTTACAGCGTAATTATCAACGACGGGCAGCTCTGTTTGACGATATATATAGATATCGTCCCACCGTGTATCGGAGCGCAAAGGCGAAAAAAGACAAATCAAAAACGGAAAGAAGTAAGGAAGGAAAGCTCCGCCTGTTCATCACCTCTTACGTACAAGGCCGGCCACGTGGATGACAGGGATATATATATCGTCAAATAGAACTGCCCGGTAAACCGTAGGCAGAGAGGGAGAAGAGGACAACAAACGAGGGGCTGTGACAAACTGTTTCGTCGGAGTTTCACCGACTCATCAGGAGGCTGGATATA